CCTGCTCTTTTGGTGAAATAAAAATTTAGTTATTTAAAAACTGAAGACAAGTAACATTAAAACTGCACTAGACTCAAGCACTTGCCATCTTACTTGCATAGGTGTTCACACGAGACATTTATAAAGCAAGTAAAATCATTCTGATGCTTCTAATGATGTAACATGCTAGCATATGGGTCAAAACAGCCCTGTTAGGACAAATTCTTTTCTCACTCCTAAACAAAACATCAACAAGACATCTAAAATCTTAATTAAAACAAATGGGGAAAATATAAACAACTTTCTATAAATACCATCATTATTTAACATTTATGTTCAAAGTATGGAATGCCTTTTAGAGTTTTTCTCTTTCATCAATACTTCAAGTCAGAAACAAAGAAACGCTTTATCGGTGGATGAAGACCTACTGATACTTGGAAGTGTTTTTTTTTTAACTTCTTCACCATAAGGTTCAACAAGACTACATTTAACAGACAAACTATTTAATGGTCTCAGCCACTAACAACTTAAAAGGTATCAATGCAAAAGTAATGAATCCATAAAACTATAAAACTGAATAAAAGGATCATGAACCATGAACTTTTTTTTTTTTTTTGCGGTAGGCGGGCCTCTCACTGTTGTGGCCTCTCCCGTTGCGGAGCACAGGCTCCGGACGCGCAGGCTCAGCGGCCATGGCTCACGGGCCCAGCCGCTCTGCGGCATATGGGATCTTCCCAGACCGGGGCACGAACCCGTGTTCCCTGCATCGGCAGGCGGACTCTCAACCACAGCACCACCAGGGAAGCCCAACCATGAACTTTTAATCTCTTCCAAACACATCAAAGATTTCTTTCTAAGACTATAAGCATGAGCCTCCTAGTAATGTCAATTATATGACCTCTGGAAAACTTCAGAGACAATTTAATTGATTTTCACTAGTATATCAACTCTACTAATGATAATCAACAATTGGTAAATAAAGGAACTGAGGGACTTTACAGCTTACATTTTAAAATGTAAGCGTTTTGGTGAAGAATAATTTATGTTCCAGAGCAGTAGTAATTAAAACATGCTTTATCCTGTAAAGGGAGATCATTAAAAAGAATGTGGCAAGTCAATGGCTTCATCCGTCTTTCAAACACACAAAGAGCTGACTTCTCTAACGTGTTAATTTTTTATAACACTCAATATATTCTGTTCTACAGTGAAAAAACTTGCATATTAAAATTAAAATAATGGCTCCAAAGGTTTTGGAGAAAGCTTTCCAGGTCTGGAGAAAATTTTAATCCTTCACAAAGTATTCTTTGTAAAATAAAATTTCTACATAATATTAGCTTAGCCAAACAGTAACTGAGCCAGATGGGTATAATGTAATCACAATATGTGTACTGTATATGGGTCCAAGCCAGGTTATGTCTTTTTTTTTTTTTTTTTTTTTTTTTTTTGCGGTATGTGGGCCTCTCACTGTTGTGGCCTCTCCCATTGCGGAGCACAGGCTCCGGACGTGTAGGCTCAACAGCCATGGCTCACGGGCCTAGCCGCTCCGCGGCATGTGGGATCTTCCTGGACTGGGGCACAAACCCGTGTCCCCTGCATCAGCAGGCGGACTCTCAACCACTGTGCCACCAGGGAAGCCCTATGTCATTTATTGATAAAAATTAATCCTCCCTCAGGAAAATAATAAGTTGAAAATGATCTGAACTGGAATAAAATTATCTGATGTAACCTCCTTAAGCAAAGTAAGACCCTTACTTCTATAATGGGGAAAGGAAAACTCTTAAACATATCTATGCTTTATTTTCTTCATTAAACACTTGAATTTAGGCATTTTCACAATATTTAATGTTTAACATTACATGTTTAATATTATAACACCAAAATAAATAAATGCCTGGGAAGGCTCTGGCTTAAATATCTTATCACATTTACATATACTAACTTCCTTGTTTAAAAAAATGAATACCATTTTCTATAGTACATGTAAAAAAGTAAAGAGAGCCATTTGAATAAAAGTAACTTCTTAGGGAGATGACATACAACTGAAGGGTTACTTAATTGAATTCCTTCTTTTTCTGGAATGAAGGAGAATCAGGTGGTAAATTAGTACCCAGTAGGTAACTTACTTTTGATAAGATGTAAGCTAACAAATCCCCAAAGGATCAAGCAAAGTGGTGAACATACACTACAAGCACTGTTCTAACTATTCCTAGACTGTTTTACTCTATTAAGAATCTCTATGGTGGTTACAGGTACTAGGGAAATTAGACAGGTTACAAACGTCATAGGATCATGAGTTGATCCAAATGGCAGAGAGGATGCTTGAAGGATCCCAGAGCCTGACCAACAGTCACACAGGAGAAGCAGTGTATTTCTGACACACGTTAAAAGGACAGTGAGTTGAGCAGCAAACGGGAAAATACTTGGGAAATAATTTCAAATAAAAAATTTATCAGAAATGTTTAATTTGATATCTTATATTCTTATTTTACTTTAAAACTACAGGAGAAAATCTTCAATCAAAAATTCAAATATCTGTGACACACTTAAATATTCAGTTTCTTGTGACTAGCTTTGTACATGTTTTTAAGCAATGACTGTTCTTTGCATACCATAAGTATCATTTGAGAAGTATGGTGTAAATCAATTTAATATAAAGTTCAGACTGCAAGTGAGAGCAACAAAAATGAAAAGTTGGTATGAATTCAGTAAAAGGATATCCAGTTTGGAATTGGAGGCGAAGGTGACAAAAGTGGAGAATTTGGACCACATGATGGCACTGCACTCATGGTTTAAAAAGGAGAAAGTAGGGCTTCCCTGGTGGCACAGTGGTTAAGAATATGCCTGCCAATGCAGGGGACACAGGTTCGAGCCCTGGTCCGGGAAGGTCCCACATGCCGCAGAGCAACAAAGCCCATGTGCCACAACTACTGAGCCTGCACTCTAGAGCTGGCGAGTCACAACTACTGAGCCAACGCGCCTAGAGCCCATGCCCCACAACAAGAGAAGCCACCGCAATGAGAACCCGGTGCACCACAACGAAGAGTAGCCCCCACTTGCCACAACTAGAGAAAGCCTGCATGCAGCAATGAAGACCCAACGCAGCCAAAAATAAAAAAAATTAAATAAATAAATAAAAGAGACAGTAGAAGAGAAATTTAGAAAGTAGGAAGGTGGAGGTTTGTTTTACACACTTACCACGAGTAGACACACTGAAAGTGTGCTAGCCCTTCCACTAAAGAACACAGACAAATTAAAGTTCCTTGGCCTAAATGTCATGTATATACATATACGAGTGACCAATATATTTTTTTTTAGTTAATTTATTTATTTTTGGCTGTGTTGGGTCTTCGTTGCTGCACACAGGCTTTCTCTAGTTGCAGCGAGCGGGGGCTACTCTTCGTTGTGGTGCACAGACTTCTCAATGCAGTGGCTTCTCTTGTTGCAGAGCACCGGGCCTAAAACGCATGGGCTTCAGTAGTTGTGGCTCACGGGCTCAGTAGTTGTGGCTTGTGGGCTCTAGAGCACAGGCTCAGTAGTTGTGGAGCATGGGCTTAGTTGCTCTGCAGCATGTGGGATCTTCCCGGCCCAGGGCTTGAACCCATGTCCCCTGCATTGGCAGGTGGATTCTTAACCACTGCGCCACCAGGGAAGCCCCAGCAGACAGATTCTTAACCACTGCACCAACCAGGGAAATCCGAGTGACTAATATTGATACATTTGTTAAGCAAGTGGTAGGAAAAGTGTGACAAAGACAAACACTGGCAAATACATGTCAGCATTAAGATACCGTTATAAGATACTGGTCTAAGTTTAAAACCTTAGCTTCCAACTACCCAGTCCATTTTTCCCCATTTAAGATAGGACAGGCCAGTTGCTCCATTTCTTTCTAGTGTTTCACTGTCCAATCCCTGCCTCACATTGGAATGCTCAACCCCAAGGAGAAAAGAGAAGAAAAGAAAAGAAAGAAAAGAGAGTAAAGAAGAAAACAAAATGATATATAAACTGAACACCCGCAATCCATTCCCATACATTAGCCTCTCTTTCCATTAACATTATGACACCATAGGAAATTCACAAGAGTTGTAAAACATATCCTCTTCAAGCACCAATGATTTACTGCTCTATTCTTTTATAAAGTTTTATGATTTATTATTTTTATGCAGCGATTTTCTTTAGCCTATCTATATTATTACACTGTTGAGTAATTATAACAATTCATTCTTCAGCATTTATTCAATCTTTAAAAGTCAGGTTTCTTTACCAAGTATTCTCTCTGGCCATCAAGTTCTAAGAAAATCACAATCCATCTTAACAGTTTATTTTGAATGTCCATACTATGTCCTGCATAAACTGGGTATCCCAAAACGGTAAAAGTTAACACAAAAAGTGCTTTAATTGAAAATCTATTAAGTAAATTAAATGTAAAATATTACATAAATCTACTTAATCAGGGCTTCCCTGGTGGCGCAGTGCTTGAGAGTCCGCCTGCCGATGCAGGAGACGCGGGTTCGTGGCCCGTTTCGGGAAGATCCCACATGCCGCGGAGCGGCTGGGCCCGTGAGCCATGGCCACTGAGCCTGCGCGTCCGGAGCCTGTGCTCCGCAAATGGGAGAGGCCACGACAGTGAGAGGCCCGCATAACGCAAGAAAAAAAAAAAAAAAAAAAAAAAAAAATCTACTTAATCAAAAAATTTCTTCATAAAAAGCTTATCATACACACAGAGAAAAAGTTTTCCCTCCCATTTTATCCTTTAATTATAGATGAGAAATGCTTTTAGTTGGAACTCACCCATCATGGCAACCAGCTTGACTATTTGAAAATTAGGGAAATGGTTCTCTCATCAGCATTCTCTATTGCCTAAGAACATAAAAAGATGAACACGTTAATAAGACGAAGAAACAGAAGAGGTAGCCACAAAAAGAAAAAAGTCAGTATAAATAACACTAATGTGAATGTACAATATTAATACTTTACACATTTTGCTGGGGAGAAGTGCTTTCTTTTTTCCAGATATTCAGTTATTGAGAAGGAACTGAAAATTATTATTATTTTAAATTAAATTTACCTCAGTATTTTTCAGGTTCCTATCTATCAAAGCTAAAGCAAAACAAAACAAAACAATTTTTGAGAGTCAAAAAACTTAAGAGATAATCTAATAAACTCAAGTTCCGGAACTCCCCTATTGATCCAGTAGATAAGAATCCGCCTTCTGGGGGCTTCCCTGGTGGTGCAGTGGTTGAGAGTACGCCTGCTGATGCAGGGGACACGGGTTCGTGCCCTGGTCTGGGAAGATCCCATATGCCGCAGAGCAGCTGGGCCCGTGAGCCATGGCTGCTGAGCCTGCACGTCCGGAGCCTGGGCTCCGCAATGGGAGAGGCCACAACAGTGAGAGGTCCGTGTACCGCAAAAAAAAAAAAAAGAATCCACCTTCCAATGCAGGGGACACGGGTTTGATCCCTGGTAGGGGAACTAGGATGCCACATGCAGTGGGGCAACTAAGCTGGCATGCCACAACTACTGAGCTCACGTGCTCTGGAGCCCGTGCATCACAACTAGAGAAAAGCTCGCACACCGCAACTAAGACGTGATGCAGCCAAAAATAAATAAATAAATATCAAAAAAAAACCAAAAACAAAACTTAAGTTCCCACAGGGCAATGGCAGATATAAAGATTGAGTGGCAAATGTCATATTTAGAGACATCAACAAAATAGTAAAAGCCTACAAATCTCCATAAAAGAAAATATTATCACAATCAACAAAAAGGAACTAACCAAAAGTTTGCAGCAATCTGGGCAGCATTTAGGAGTCACAGTAAAAAGAGAGAAGCTTGTGGCATTCTGACCTTCCCTATTCCTATCTTCCTGCCCCTTACTCCCAGCTCCAAAGTAGCAATGTAAACGAACAGCCCACAGTCACCATGAAAATGAGCAGCCTGGCAGCAACTGGAAAAGGCAGAATGGAACTGGAATGCCTTCAAAGTCTGATTCCAAAAAAACTGTCATTATTTGACCTACCTAATGGTTGGCTGATAGACCCCATTTGAAAGGCTGCCTTTATTTAACCTGACTCAAAGCTTTTCCATTGCAAAGAACTTGGAGTGTTTGCTGACATCAATCAGGGACAACATATGTCAACTGTCTGAGGAAGGGGAAAATAGTTGGGCAAACAATAGGTTAAGAAAAAAAATTTTAAGAAAAGCTGAGAAATGAGATGTCAACAGGGAACTGTGAGAAGCTCCAACAGACTCCTGGGACTCTAGAAGGTACACAAATGCCCAAGGCTGTTGCTTACTCAAGAAAGGCCTAAGAAGGCTCTCGGCTTTCACCTCTGGCTAACTCTGAGGCTCTGTGTAGCAGTAAGTAAAGGATGAGGTGGAGTTGTAAATGCCTGGGAGAATGTTAAAGACCAGCCCCAACACACACAGAAAACCACTCAAAGACTTGAGACTTATCTGTTCCAAGTACCTAAGGAAATCTCTGTCTAATCATTAGATGACAGCTAAACTAAGAGCAGTCTTCAGTGACCATATATGACAAAGAATACAGACTTTAAAAAGTGAGTTCTGAAATGTCAACAAACAAATAATAACAATAAACAAAAAACACTGGGGAGGGGACTTCTCTGATGATCCAGGGGTTAAGACTCCATGTTCCCAATGCAGGGGGCATAGGTTTAATCCCTGGTCAGGGAACTAAGATCCGGCATGCTGTGTGGCACAGCCAAAAAAACAAACAAACAAACAAAGAAAAAACCACTGGGGAGGGAGAAGAATCTGATTCCCAGAGGTGGCCCATTATAATATTTTAAATGTCCAGTTTTCAAGAAAACAATGAGACATACAAAGATATTAGTCCATACACAGAGAAAAAGCAATCAACAGAAACTGACCCTGAGAAAGCCTAGATGTCAGACTAACTAGACACATACAAAACTTCCAGATTCCCAGATGAAAAGCAAGTGTTCAGCATAAACTATATTGTTTGTATAAGCAGCTTAGGCACAATAAGCCATTCTTATCAGTTAGGCAGCTGGGAACTCTCCTGAAATACAAGTTCTCAGATGCCAGCCAATGATAAGCAGTTCATTCCAAGGATAAGCAGTGAGGCTATGTTAACTCTCTTCTATACAAACAGCAGAAGGAAATTAATAGACAAGTTTAAAGAAACTGTATAAAGCAATAACTATAAGCGTGTTGTTGGGTGTACAATATATAGATATAATTTGTACAACAATATACACAAATTTCCCTTTGTATAGTACAAAGGAAAGAGGAGAGATGGAGTTAAAAGGAAAGTTTTGTATGCCACTTTACTTAAGTGGCATTAACTCAAACTACATTGTTTTAAGTTGAGATGTTAATTTTAATCCCCAGGTCAATGACTGAAGAATACATTTTTTAAAATGGCAAAAGAAATGAGAGAATTAAAATAGCACACAACAAAATATCTATTTAACACAAAGAAGGCAATAATGGAGGAATGAGGAACAACAACAACAACAAAGATACAAAACACAGAACACAAACATAAAATGGCAGATGTAATATTACCTTATGTGTAATTATATTAAATATAAGAGGAATGAACAAACCAGTTAAAAGGCAGAGATTAGCAGACTAGGTTAAAAAACAAGATCTAACTATATGCTGTCTACATCAGACACTATAGATTCAGGCACAAAACAGGTTGAAAGTAAAAGACTGTAAAAAGATATACCATGCAAACAGTAGCCAAAGGAGACCTAGCTATACTAATAGCAGACAAAATAGAATACATTATACACAAGCACTGAATATGAAACTGTGATTAAAAATCTTCCAACAAACAAAAGCCCAGGACCAGATGGCTTCACAGGGAAATTCTATCAAACATTTAGAGAAGAGCTAACACCTATCTTTCTCAAAATTCCAAAATTTGGCAGAGGGAGGAACACTCCCAACCTCATTCTACAAGGCCACCATCATCCTGATACCAAAACCAGACAAATATGTCACAAAGAAAGAAAACTACAGGCCAATATCACTGATGAACATAGATGCAAAAATCCTCAACAGAATACTAGCAAACAGAATCCAACAGCACACTGAAAGGATCATACACCCTGATTAAGTAGGGTTTATACCAGGAATGCAAGGATTCTTCAATATACGCAAATCAGTCAATGTGATACACCATATTAACAAACTGAAGGAGAAAAACCATATGATCATCAAAATACATACAAAAAAAGCTTCTGACAAAATTCAACACCCGTATATGATAAAAACCCTCCAGAAAGTAGGCATAGAGAAAACTTACCTCAACATAAGAAAGGCCATATATAACAAAGCCACAGCCAATATCGTTCTCAACGGTGAAAAACTGAAACCATTTCCTCTAAGATCAGGAACAAGAAAAGGTTGCCCAGTCTCACCACTATTATTCAACACAGTCTTGGAAATTTTAGCCACAGCAATCAGAGAAGAAAAAGAAATAAAAGGAATCCAAATTGGAAAAGAAGAAGTAAAACTGTCACTGTTTGCAGATGACATGGTACTATACATAGAGAATCCTAAAGATGCTACCAGAAAACTACTAGAGCTAATCAGTGAATTTGGTAAAGTAGCAGGATACAAAATTAATGCACAGAAATCTCTGGCATTCCTATACACTAATGACGAAAAATCTAAAAGAGAAATTAAGGAAACACTCCCACTTACCACTGCAACAAAAAGAATAAAATACCTAAGAATAAACCTACCTAAGGAGACAAAAGACCTGTATGCAGAAAACTATAAGACAATGATGAAAGAAATTAAAGATGATACAAACAGGTGGAGAGATACACCATGTTCTTGGATTGGAAGAATCAACATTGTGAAAATGACTATACCTCTCAAAACAATCTACACATTCAGTGTAATCCCTATCAAAGTACCAATGGCATTTTTCACAGAACTAGAACAAAATATTGTACTATTTGTATGGAAACACAAAAGACCCCGAATAGCAAAAGCAATCCTGAGAAAGAAAAACGGAGCTAGAGGAATCAGGCTCCCTGACTTCAGACTATACTACAAAGCTACAGTAATCAAGACAGTATGGTACTGGCACAAAAACAGAAAGATAGATCAATGGAACAGGATAGAAAGCCCAGAGATAAACTCACACACATATGGTCACCTTATCTTTGATAAAGGAGGCAAGAATATACAATGGAGAAAAGACAGCCTCTTCAATAAGTGGTGCTGGGAAAACTGGACAGTTACATGTAAAAGAATAAAATTAGAACACTCCCTAACACCATACACAAAAATAAACTCAAAATGGATTAAACACCTAAATATAAGGCCAGACACTATAAAACTCTTAGAGGAAAACATAGGAGGAACACTCCATGACATAAACCACAGCGAGATTCTTTTTGACCCACCTCCTAGAGAAAAGGAAATAAAAACAAAAATAAACAAATGGGGCTTAATGAAACTTGAAAGTTTCTGCACAGCAAAGGAAACCATAAACAAGACGAAAAGACAACCCTCAGAATGGGAGAAAATATTTGCAAATGAAGCAACTGACAAAGGATTAATCTCCAAAATATACAAGCAGCTCATGCAGCTCAATATTAAAAAAACAAACAAAAATCTAAAAATGGCCAGAAGACCTAAACAGACATTTCTCCAAAGAAGATATACAGATTGTCAACAAACACATGAAAGGATGCTCAACATCACTAATCATTAGAGAAATGCAAATCAAAACTACAATGAGGTTTCACCTCACACCAGTCAGAATGGCCATCATCAAAAAGTCTACAAATGGGGCTTCCCTGGTGGCACAGTGGTTGAGAATCTGCCTGCCAATGCAGGGGACATGGGTTCGAGCCCTGGTCTGGGAAGATCCCACATG